AAATTGTTTTTCACTTAACGATTTGACTATATTTTCCCATTCTTTTCTAGCTCACATTATTTCTGATGAGAGGTCCACTGTTAGCCTGATGGGATATCCTTTGTAAGTAACTTGACATTTCTTTCTTGCCAATCTTAGCATTTTGTTTTTGTCTGTGATTTTGATCAATCTGGCTAGAATGTGTTTTGTAGATGATCTTCTTGGATTGATTCTATGTGGGGTCCTTTGTAATTTTTAGGTCTGGATCTTCTAATGCCTCTCTAGGTTTAGAAAGTTTTCTTCCAGTATTTCATGGAATAGATTATCAATACCTTTATGACTCTCTTTGCCTTCTGGGATACTGATTATCTGGATGTTTGGACATTTAATGATATCTCCTATTTCTCATGTTTATTCTCAATTTTTGGGCTATTTTCTCAGTCTTTGTGGTGGATTTTTCTAGTCCAGTGATTCTGCTTTCTACATCTGAGATTTGACCTTCTGTATGATCTAGTCTGCTTTGAGTACTTTCAAAGGAGGTTTTGATTTCCAGTATTACAGCCTTCATCTCTAGCAGTTCCATTTGATTCTTTTTTATGGTGTGTATTTCCTCTTTCAAATCATGCAAGAACTTCCTCACCTGCTGAAACTCGTCACTCTTTTCTCTTGAATCTTCTGGAGTTTATTCTCTCGCTTGTATCTCTGTTAGCTTTGTCACTACGAATATTCTAAATTATTTACCAGACATTCCTGCAAGTTCCATTGTACTGTTTGTGGATGAAGAGGAATTATTCTTTTCTCTTGGGGGAGAGGTATTTTCTTGAATACTCATATTATGCCTCTGTGGTGATTGCTGGTCATCTGATGGGTGATACATTTCTTTCTAATTTCTTGAAGTTCAGTCTGAGCATTCAGAGGCATGCAAGAGGAGGTGGTCTGCAACCTCCCTGCTATTTTATTTTTCTCTGTTTGTGTGGCAGATTCAGTGGGGACTGAGGAATATTCTGACTCTAATAGTATTCAGATGTTTGGCTATGGTTCATTTAGACCTGTCTAAACACTCAGTGAATGGAGGCTGAGCAGCAAACTGATGAGGTGAAAGAAAACAGAGAAAGAGAAGAAAAGAAAAAAAAAACACAGAAAAGAAAAAAAAAAAACAAAACTTTATTTATTAATTTTTTTTAATAAAAGCAAAAAATAAAAACCACACGGCGCACAAGTGCGCTGCACGAAAGCAATAGTTTCCAGGTCCAACGGAGGAGTCTTCTCTGAAGGCCTATACTTTTTGCCTCTCCTGAATGGGATGAGGCAAAGGTGTAAATTAGCAAGATAAAAGAGGATCTGAGAGCCAAGAAGATACATTACCTTAAAAAATTAAAAGACAGAGAGAGACGGAGAGAAGGATATAGGGGGTGCCCTACCACTCTGGAATGGAGTCTGGAGGATGAAGTATCAGCAGAAAATTTTCATTAGTTTCAGTCCCTGAAAGCACTAGTTCCCAGCTCCAATGGAGGAGTCTTCTCTTTAACACCATACTTTTTATATCATATTTTGTTTGCTCATTTATCTGCTGGTGGACACTTGGGTTGCTTACATCTTTTGGCTCTTTGTTGGTTTGGAACAAACCTCTCTAGGTTTGGAAAGTGTTTTTCCAGTATTTCATGGAATAGGTTATCAATGCCCTTATGAGTCTCTTTGCCTTCTGAGATACCAGTTACACGAATGTTAGGACATTTGATGGTATCTAGTATTTCTTTCTTTCTTTCTTTCTTTTTTTGGAGAGATTTTCGCTTTAGAGTGCGTGCACTCGCCAGACAGACAGAGAGAGACATAGAGACAGAAAGCGAGAAATCACCCCCCAGGGGGGATGGTCACGCCGCAATA